CCCCAAAACCCCAAAACCCCAAAACCCCAAAACCCCAAAACCCCAAAACCCCTTTTTGAAGCACAGATATTGAAAATTCTTTGTTATTATCTCAGTGTGATATTGTTTTTACCCAGAAGCATCTAAAAATCAATGCTGAGCACCTACCTTCTTGTTGGATTTTTGGACCATGGTCTTAGGAGAGTAGTAAGAGCCTCCTGGGCTACCGTAATAATCACTTCCAAAGCCACTTTTTGAAAGAGTCAGCTTGCTAGTTCCTCGCATCATAGACCTGATTCTCTGGTCTTCTTCTTTATACAGCTTGAGTAGATCAATATATTGATCTATGGAGGTAATATAACCTAGCTTACCCTTCTGGGCAACTTTGGCTTGCTTCTCTTCACGTTTCCTTTCTTCCCATTCGCGGAACTTCTTAAGGCGGAGTTTCTCATTTCTCTTGTTGTCCCAGTACGACTTCTCTTTCTGTTCTAGTTTCTTGAGGTACCTGGTTTTCCTGTCATCGTCAAGGATGCTAATCTGTCCCTTGATTGTTCCTCCATTTCTCTGAGTCTGACCAGCATTCTTATACAACTGGAAGTTGCTCCTAGAACCATCTTGGGAAGGAACTTTTGATAACTGCTTCTGTACGATTTGGCGGAACCTATCATCCTCTGGGGACGCTATGCCATGATAAGATCCGATGATCGGCAATTTGGAAGCGACAGACTAAACTTACAAGCAATCATTGATCTTGAATCATACTTTCGCCTGATGTCGAAGTATTCCAAAGACTTTTTGATCTTGTATTCTTTTAGTTTCTCTTCCTCTTTCCGCTCCTTTTCAAGAATTTTATTAATCTTGTAATTCTTAATGTTCTCAGCTCTGGTCTTAGCCTTCTGAATGTTTCTGGAAATTTGATCCAGATTGTGCTCGGATATCTTATGTCGTTCTTTTCTCTGCTCAGCAATGTATGAACTTTTCCTCGACATTCTAGAATTAAGAAATTGGATCTTACCTTCGCTGATGCTGTCTATTTCTTCTCATCTATGGCCTGTTGCTGCCTATCTAAGATGTTCTGCACATCTATATTTTGGCCTTAACGTCTCTGGAATACTGGGAGTTATGGATAAAGTCATCATACCTATCGAAAGATATTAAAGGGAGCTTACTTGAGTCTTTCCTGTTTGATTTTTTCCCTCTTTCGTTCTTTCTTAGCTTCCTTCTGCATGTACTCTTTTAATTTCATGTCCTCTATAGCTCTAGCTTTCTCAAGATGGATGTCATAGGCCCTCTGCCTCTTGAGTTTCTCATCTAAAATCTAAGGAATCGGCACTTACCCATAACTTGCTTGTGGATAGCCTGGATGATCTTTCTCTTGTCAACTCCTTTTGCAATTTCCTTCTTTAGAGACAGATTCATTTTATTTTTGTCCATTTTTAATTATTTCCCGTGAAAGTTCAATTGGATAACTAGATTTTGGGGTTTTGGGGTTTTGGGGTTTTGGGGTTTTGGGGTTTTGGGG